CCCCCGAATCCTCGGCATACCGAAGCTTCGGACTCAGGCTTCGCCTTCCAGCAGTCATGCTTTCTTCCACCTCACAACCGGCACAATTGTCTCTGAAACTCCTTTCACTTAATATCAAAGGTCTGAACATACCCGAAAAGCGCTCCATGCTCCTCTCTTACTTACACAAACAGAAAGCGGATGTGGTCTTTTTACAAGAAACACATTTTCGCCAAGACTCCATTCCAAAGCTTTACAATTTCTGCTTCCCCACAGTCCTCCACGCCACCAACCCCTGGCTAAGTTCTAAGGGGGTTGCGATACTGTTTGCCAGACACCTTCAGCTTCATTGTAACAGATTCCATGGTGGACCCTGAAGGTAGATACCTGTTTATAAAGGGATTATTCGCTAACAGACCTATCACATTCGCCAATGTCTATGCCCCCAATGTTCAACAGGTCTCCTTCCTGCGCTCAATCGTCTCTGACCTAGCCGCTTTCCAGGAAGGGTTACTGATACTTGGAGGCGATCTGAATGTCCCTTTGAGCCCTCTGCTAGACTCCTCCTCGGGTAGTTTTTTTACCCTACAAGGCCCTCAGGCAAATACATATCCAATTACAGCTTCTACAATTACATGACACCTGGTGTACACTTTACCCCACTGTTAAAGATTATACTTTTTTTTCCCCACCACACAATAAGTATTCTAGGATAGACTATTTTTTTTTGTCGCAACCAGATCTCCCTATCCTCCATGCTGCTACCATAGAACCGATGGTCTTTCCGATCATCATCCCATCTCCATGACGCTACGGTTCCCCATCTCGCACCCGCGCTCCAAATACTGGCGTTTGGATGCTTCCCTTCTTGCAGATGCCGCTATTGTTCAAGAGCTCCCGCTCTAGTATGGTTGAATATTTTTCCTTGAATAGCTCGTCAGACACCTCACCCATCACACGATGGGAGGCCCACAAGTGTGTCATTCGGGGCAGCCTCATAGCCATTGCGACGAGACGTAAGAAAGCCAAACAGGAGCGTCTGAAGCTCCTCTCAGATAGGATTCCGCTCTTTGGAAAGAGTACACAAACAGACTCTGGCTGCGTCGACCCCTTTTGGAACTCACGAGTACACTCACGCAGCTTCTCACGGAACTGGGTAAGGTGGTTAGAAAAAGATTCATTCTTTCACATAAGCTGTATTACGAGTTCGCAAACAAGAGCGGGAAATTTCTAGCCAGAGCTCTTCGTGAAAAACGGGCTAGTATGACGGTGCATAAAATCAGAGGCTCTGATGGCATTGAGGCTACATCCAACCCCGATATTGCCGCCCATTTTGAACGCTACTATAAATCTCTCTACAACCTCCCTCAGGAACGCCCCCCTATCCATTCGGACAAATCTAGAACTGCCTTGATCTCTGAATTTCTCCATCTCTACGGTTCACCTGCCCTCTCAGAGGATCTGGTGCACGCTTTGGAAAATGATCTCACCTTCCTTGAACTGCAATCCGCAGTAAAACAGATGAAACCGGGGAAGAGCCCGGGCCCTGATGGTTTTTCAGCAGCCTATTATAAATCTTTTTTAGATATACTGGGTATTCCATTTCTCGCTGCTTTTAACACTCTCGCTCAACCTTCAGGGTCGCCTAACCACCTGTTGGAGGCTCACATTACAGTTATCCCCAAAGACGGGAAGGACACCACCCAGGTCTCCAATTATAGACCCATTTCCTTGCTGAACGGGACGTCAAACTATTCGCTAAGATCCTTGCTAATTGTCTTCTTCCCTTGCTTCCCTCCATGGTCGATTTGGACCAAGTAGGATTTATCCCTGGTAGAGAAGCGAGGGACAACACTATCAAGGCCCTTAATCTCCACCACTGGCTTCGCAGGTCTAACACCCGGGTTTTTTTCCTCTCCTTGGATGCAGAAAAGGCCTTTGACAGGATTGCCTGGGATTACCTGAACGCATCTTTAGTGGCACTGGGTCTGGGTGAGAAGATGCTTAACTTTATTATGGCCCTCTATTCTGCACCTACTGCCCGGGTCCGAGGGGTGAACGGTCATCTGTCAAACTCCTTTCATCTACGGAACGGTACACGTCAGGGATGCCCCCTCTCCCCGCTTTTGTTTGTCCTATCCCTTGAGCCCCTGTTGCGGAAAATTCGTTTAAACCCTGATGTTAAAGGAATCACGGTGGAGACAAGGGGGAATATAAGCTTGCAGCTTATGCGGATGATATTCTCTTGTTCCTGGCGGACCCTCACATCACCCTCCCGAACCTACTGAAAGACTTTGCCTTTTTTAGATATTTGTCGAATTTTAAAATTAATTTTTCCAAATCTGCCGCCCTTAACATTACTTTGTCTTCTGAGCTGGTCTCTGCTTGTGAGGGCCCAATTCCCATTTCATTGGGAAAGGGATTCCCTAACTTATCTCGGTATCCAGCTCACCAGTAACCTTGATGACCTTTATGTGAAAAAACTATCTTACCGCTCTTCGCTCTATGCAAGAAGACCTCAATAAATGGCACCGTCCCTGTTTCTCGTGGTTTGGAAGGGCAGCGATCATTAAAATGAATGTACTTCCCCGTCTCCTGTATCTCTTCCAAACATTACCAATTCACTTACCTCTTGCTTTCTTTGCTTCTTGCAAAAGACTGTGTTTCTCTGTTCCTTTGGAGCCACAAACGTCCACGTATTGCCTACTCCCAATTAACCCTCTCTAAACTTAAAGGGGGCATAGGATTTCCTGATCTTTACCGCTACTATTGGGCTTATCATCTTTCCCGGATAGTTGATTGGCACGTTCATACTGCCTCCAAAGACTGGATATCTATAGAGAATGCTTGCTCGCCCTTCCCCTGGCATCGATTCCTTGGCTCTCACCGAAAAAACACGCCACAAGCTCTTCTCACCCATCCCTTGGTGGGACCTACGTTAAAAATTTTCCGATCGGCTTGTAGATCTGCTGCCATTTCTGACACACCCAACCCCCTGACCCCTATACGCCTCAACCCTGACTTCCCCCCTGGGATGCATAAAGATTTTTTAATGAAAACACTGGCCGCACAAACAGATCTTAGTGAAACATTTTCTCCACAAAGGCAAGGTGAAAACGCTCAGTGAACTGCAGGAAAGCCTGGGTATTCGCGAATTCCCTTTCTGGGTATATTTCCAGATCAGACATTATCTGCTCTCTCATAAACCCCCTCATAACTGGCATCGCTCTCTTACCCCATTTGAATCTGCATGCGCGAAGGCTGAACCACGGAAACATCTGATCTCGGAGATCTACCCACTTCTAGTGGAGAGCCGGTCTTATGACTCCCTCCCCGCGTGTCGGGCTTGGGAAGAGAGATCTTAATGCTGAGTTGTCGGACTCCGACTGGGACCTGGTTTTCCAATACTCTCATAAATGTTCCCTCAATGTCTCGACACAAGAAAACAGCTACAAAAATAGCCTCTAGATGGTACCGATACTCCCTCAAGAATTCATAATTTTAACCCCGCCTTCCCCAACAGCTGCTGGAGATGCGGGACCCCGGATGGGTCCTTTCTTCACATTTGGTGGTCTTGCCAGCTTCTTCAACCATTTTGGCAGGAGGTCCATAGGTTAGTAGTGTCTATAACTACCTTACCCTTAGCTCTCTCTCCTGCCCAATTCCTCCTCCATCACTCTTCCCTTCCCAGGGCTCAGTATTTTAAATCATTAGCCATGCACATGATCAACGCAGCCAGACTCTGTATTCCGGTTCTATGGGGCTCCACACGCTCTCCCTCTATCCGTGAATGGCTCACTCGAGTGGGTAAAACGGCGGACATGGAAGAACTGGTTGCGACTGCACTCGATACTCCTACGAAATACTCTCATGTATGGGCCTGCTGGACCCATTTTCTGACTACCCCGGAATATCGATCCCTCATGGACCAATCTGTCTAAAACCTAATTTGGACTTCCTGATAGTGTTATTTAGTGGTATTTGACCTGAGGGTGTCCTCATACTCCCCCCTGTGTTACACACGCTTTCCTTTGACGCCGCTGATAGCTTAGGTTCCACCCACTCCCGCTACTGTTTGTCTGGAGGATAAGATCTTTTTGTCGGTTGTCCCTTCTCTTATTTTGCCCTCCCCACTTGCTTCCCTTCCTCCCCCCCCCCCTCCCCCCCTTTTTTTTTTTTTTTTTTCTCTCGCCTTCTCTTTTCTTTTCTTTCATATGCTTTTACACGTTTTGGACACTTTTTCCGATAGCACACTGAGTATGCGGTCAGCATCACCTCCCGCAATTCGTTCGCGGTTCCCACGACAATTACTCCTACATTCGCACAATTCCACCATCGTATTCTGTAGTATTGACTCTCACATAGGCATCGTACTGCTCTTTTCCCCCCTACAGATTTTTATCGCTAGACGTTATGGTGGAAGGCCAGACGTCTCTTTATTTTTAGCACTTGACAAGCATACCTAAATATTGCTGGCACAACCCTGTCGTGGCCTAGTTCATCCACACTGTTTGGTCTTGCGTTGGACCTCATTTGCCTTTGTATGATTTATGTTTTGCTGTTTGTCCTATGTGCATTTCCTCTGTACATTTTCGGTTGTGAAAATTTGTATCTTGTTTTCAATAAACTTTGTTTTTTGGAAAAAAAAAAAAAAATAATCTCTATATCTATCTATCTATCTATCTATCTATCTATCTATCTATCTATCTATCTATCTAGATATAGAATATAGAGTCTACAGAGGAGTGAAACCTTTAAAGGGACCTTCCATGGTTGTCCTCCTTGGTGGGATGGGGAAAACAGAGATAAACCAAGTGAAAGTGATCCTGCCAGTTTGATTTTAACCTGAAGATGACCACCCTGGGGAAATCAGGAGGAAGTACATATTCCTGCTATGGCTGTATCTGATTGAATTCAGCAAAGATGACATTACACTTGTGGGCACTTGAGAAAGTGGGATGAATAACTGCAGAACATAAAGTGATGATTTTTTTTTTCTCCCTGTGTTTCTCCTCCCTCAGGACTGTTTTGCGGTGGTTTGTGGTGGGGTGGAAGAATCTACGCGCCTCTTGGCAGAAAAATTTGATTATATATTATTTACAGGTAACATGAAACACAATAAAATGGGGCTGATACAACAGCATATAACTCTTTATGCTGAGGGAGAGGACATTTTTCTATGGGGCATAGGTTGCAAGAACAGGGATCCAGGGTGAGGGTGGAAGCATATGGGCTGAGGAATAGGGTGGTGGCACAGGGTGGCAGGTAGGAGAACAGGACCTAGGATGAGGGTGGCAGAACATGAGCCCAGGACATTGTTGGCTAGACAGGGTTTCAAGGCAATGTTTGCAGGACATGGTCTTAGGGCTAAGGTGGCAGGATCAGGTCCCAGGGCAAATGGGACACAATATGTGCCCAGGTGAGTGGAGAGGGACAGTGACATAAAGTGAAGGGTAGCAGGACATGGGTTCATAGTAGAGTGGGCAGAGCAATGTCCCAGACTGAGAGTGGCAAGATGGGGAACTAGGGCTAAGGTGGCATGGTATGCAGTTAGGATGAGGATGGCATGACAGGGGCCCAAGACAATGGTGCCAGGGTATATGTTTGAGTGAGGACAGGTGCTCAACAGTCCTGGATGAGGGTGGTTGGACAGAGGCCCAGGTTGAGGGAGGCAAGACATGGAGCAAGGACAATAGTGTTAGTAGTGTGGCAAGACCATGGCATAGTGAAGAGGGTCAAAGGACATGTACAGTACCTATGCTGATGGTGGCAGGACAGAAACTCTTGGTAAGGGTGGTAGGACAGATACCCAGGGAGACGTTGGTAGGACAAGGACCCAGAGTGAGGGTGGTAGGACAAGGACCCAAAGTGAGGATGGTAGGACAAGGACCCAGAGTGAGGATGGTAGGACAAGGACCCAGAGTGAGGACGGTAGGACAGGGACCCAGGGTGAGGATGGTAGGACAGGAGCCCTAGGTGAGGATGGTGGGACAAGAGCCCTGGGAGAAGGTGATAGGACAGGAACCCAGGGTGAAGATGGTGGGACAGGAGCCCTGGGTGAGGGTGGTAGGACAAGGACCCAAGGTGAAGGTGGTAGGACAAGGACCCAGAGTGAGGACGGTAGGACAGGGACCCAGAGTGAGGACGGTAGGACAAGGACACATAGTGAGGGTGGTAGGACAGGGACCTAGTGTGGAGGTGGTATGACAGGAGCCCCTAAGTGAGGATGGTGGGAGAGGGACCCAAGTTGAAGGTGGTTGGACAGGAGCTTTGGGTGAAGGTGGATGGACAGGGACTCAGGGTAAGGGTAGCAGTAAATAGATCCAATGTGAGGGCAACAGGACAGAGGCCTGACAGTGCAAGTTGCCTGGCTGTTATGTTGATCCTCAAGGTTCCATATTTTGAATCACTGTACAAGAACAGTTTGCAGATTTTGCAGGAGTTTCCAGATCTACATATCTGTAAATTCAAGTACTGAAGCCACAGGATAAGCACCACCACCAGGAAATTAGCATTTTTTAAAAAGGTGTTTAGTCCCCGTATTTCTTTTATGAAATATTCACATTAAAGACAAGTAGACAATGAAACTTGTGTACACTGATTTCCACTTTCTCCCCACACAGGGAACCCAACTGTTGGTAAAATAGTGATGACGGCAGCGGCCAAACACCTGACGCCACTGACTCTGGAATTAGGTGGAAAGAATCCATGTTACGTGTATGATGATTCCGACATCAAGAATGCCGCCAGGCGCATTGCCTGGTCGCGGTTTCTCAACGCGGGTCAGACATGCCTGGCGCCAGATTACGTCCTTTGTTCTGACAAAATTAAAGAAAAATTGGTTGCGGCATTACGGACCACCATCCAGGACTTTTACGGAGAGGATCCAAAGCAGTCACCAGACCTTGGGAGAATCGTTAGCGACAGACATTTTCAAAGAGTGGCCTCCCTATTAAAAGGCGGGAAGATAGTGGTGGGCGGACAGACCGACGAATCTGAAAGATATATTGGTAGGAAAATCCTGTTTCAGGTGTCCTTACATTGATGTGTATTGTATATTAAGATATCTCATGAAATATTATTACAGATACTTACTATATATAGCGCCATCAATTTACGCAGCAATTATTATTATACAGTATTTTATAGCACAGTTTGCGCAGCACTTTACAATAGAAAGGGAGACAATACAGTTACAATGCGATACAATACAAGAGGGTTGAGAGGGCCCTGCTAATAACAGCTTGCAATCTAATAGGGTGGGGAAAGCGGTACACAATTATTATTATTATTATTATTATACAGGATTTATATAACGCCAACAGTTTGCTCAGCGCTTTACAATATAACGGGAGACAATACAGCAACAATACAGTTCAATACAAGAGGGATAGGAGGGCCCTGATCCTGGGAGCTTACAATCTAGGAGGGAGGGGCTAGTGGTACAAAAGGTAGTAACTGTGGGGGATGGAGTGGTTGGAAAAGTAGAAGATTCCAGTATTAGCTGAGGGCAGCATAGGCTTCCCTAAAGAGATTAGTTTTCAGAGATCGCCTAAAAATGAGCAGAGTAGGCGATAGTCTGATAAATTGGGATAGAGAGTTCCAGAGGATGGGGGAAGCTCTGGAGAAGTCCTGGAGATGAGCATGGGAGGAGGAGACAAGGGAGCTAGAGAGCAGGAGGTCTTGCGAGGAGCAGAGAGTACAGTTTGGGTGATATTTGGAGACAAGATCGGTGATGTAATTTGGGGCGGAGTTATAAATGGCTTTATACGTAATTATTAGTGTTTTGTATAAAGCCATTTATAATTCTGCCCCAAATTACATCACCGATCTTGTCTCCAAAAGTTTATAACTGTGAAGGCCAAGCCGATGGAAGTGATATAAGCTCAGTTAGTTGGAGGTGTGTTAGGCTTCCCTGAAGAGATGAGTTTTCATGGCAGTCAGAGTAGGAGATAGCTGGACAGACTGAGGTAGAGAGTTCCAGAGGATAGGAGAGGCTCTGGAGAATTCCTGGAGATGAGCATGGGAGGAGAAAACAAGGGAGCTTTAGAGCAGCAGTTCTTAAGAGCTTACAAACCGCTTACAATAATATCTGTGTGAGACGTGTCCGACAGCAGTAAGCTGTTCATGCTCATGTCGGTGTCCTTCCCCAACTTGTGATCACCATTTGATCTATGACACAATCACATGGCTTTGTTAGTAAACAACTCACTCTGACAAATGCAAAAGTATTTCTTTCTGTGTGCACTACTTAAAAAACAGTCCCACCACCCTCACATTGGGTCCATTTCCTTTAGATTTACAGTTAGTCTTTCCTCATCATGTGATCACCATTTGAACTATTACATGACCACTATGCTTTGTTTGTAAACAAATGACAATGAGAAAGGCCAAACAGTTTCTTTCTGTGTGGCTCTACTTCTAAAAGAAGACTGTGCAGTGTCAGTCAAAGTTTTAAAATAAATTTAAGTCCAAGCAAGATAATAACTGCCACACTAAGCCTTGTTAAGCCTTGAGTTTTCAAATATATATATATATATATATATATATATATATATATATATATATATATATAAAATTATTATTTATTTTTTTTTTAATTTGCGACTTGTGCTGGGATTTGTAATAAGAAATACTTGTTGACAGTGTGCATATCAATGAGTAATCTAGGTGGTCATGTTTCTCTTAGGAGTGACAGGTTAGCAGTCTGCATAGACTGATCTCCCTGCTGTAACCACTTCAATAGCGGCACTTATACCCCCTTCGTGCCAGGTCATTTTTCATTTTCAGTGCTGTTGCACTTTGACAATTGCGCGGTCATACAAAACTCTACCCAGATGCAATTTTTATCATATTTATTTCACACAAATATAGAGCTTTCTTTTGGTGGCATTTAATCACCATTGAGTTTTTTTTTTTTTTTTTGCTAAATAAAACAAAAAAAAGTAACCTGAAAATTTTGAAAAAAATACACTTTTCTTTGTTTCTGTTATAACATTTTGCAAATTAATAACAGTTCTTCATCAATGTAGGTCAAAATGTATTCTGCTACATTTCTTTGGTGAAAATAATAATAATAATTTAATTTAATTTTTTTTTCAAACGTTTCTATTTTTTAAAATTTGTTATTATTTTTTTTCTATTTTTTTATTATTTTTTTTTCATTGCACTGTGACCAAAGCAATGCAATGTTACCATAGTAACATTGAACTACTCTGGACAAGTGATCAGGATTTTTTTTTTTTTGTTAACACATTATGATTGCTAAATACCGATGTATTTCATTGATATTTGCAATCATTGTTACTGAATGAAACTGAATCATTCAGTCTTTTGTTGTGATTAGCTGTAATTGGGCAAAGCTAATCACATCATACAGATGGGCTGTGATTGGCCCTGTCTGTATCATGTGACTGCCTTGACCAGTCACAGCTAACAACATAATTGTATACAATGGATGGCATGACAGGAAGCCATCCATTGTATACAATTGTGATTGGTCACAGCGGTCACATGACACTGGCAACGGGCCGGTGTAGTGATATGTGTGACACAACCGGTGACAGATTGTGCCACTGTGCGGCCCCGCGGCTGCGTGAGCGGCCCATTTTGACAGGACGTCATATGACGCCCAGTCACAATGGCGAGTGTCCCACCTGGCCGTCAATCTGCTATAGCCAGACGGGATGGTGTTAATTAAGAAAACTTCTGCTCTTATTTGAAGCTTTCCCCCCTATCTGGTGTAAATTGGAAATATTAATTATTTAATATGAATTAGTGATATTTACCTGAATAAAAATAAAACAATTTTGAAAATATATTGTTTTAGTAGGTGAAATAAAATACATAAACGTATATAGATGATAATAATAATAATAATAATAATATTAAATCTACATTAAATTCCATTATGATGGGTTAATTCAGATGGTGATGAAAATCATGCAAGTATGACATTGTAAGGTAGTGTACACAAAACCCAATAATAGTACTACAGTACAGTTACATCAGGTTATATAAAAAATCTTCAGCAAATAACAGAAGAAATAAATGTAGTGCCAGAGGAAAACACATCAGGTAATATGAAAAGTATCCAGCAGATGGCAGCAGAGTACAATGTATAGAAATAATGCCAGAGTACAAAGATTCCTCATAGGAATCTCCAGCAGATGGCAGCAAAGCATCAGGAATGTAATACCAGTGCTGTACAATCATTTCAAATTATTATTATTATTATTATTATTATTTTTTATTATTTATTATTATTATTATATTATACAGGATTTACATAGGGCTAACAGTTTGCTCAGCACTTTACAATATAACGAGAGACAATACAGCAACAATACAGTTCAATACAAGAGGGTTAGTAAGGCCCTGCTCCTTGGAGCTGACAATCAAATAATATAAACCTCTTTATAAAAACTTCTGGGTAAATGTATTTTCTACATTGCAGTCCTGTAAGTGAATGACCCACTGTGGCCCTCACATGGTCTTTCCTGGACTAGAGCAGCAATCTATGGATGGGACCATTTTTCTGCTTCCACCTTTTGGCCTTTTTTAGAGTGTAGTTTCTTTATCCACACTTTGCGCTCCCTTTATTTCCCCCCTTAAATGTGTCACACCAGTGGCGTAACTAGAACCTTTAGGGCCCCAGAGCAAGAAACCATGAAGGGCCCCCCTGACCCTCGGTGGAGCCCTTCCCTATGAGCCCGGTGGCCAAATATGTAATTTTTGTGACCCTGTTAGTTTCTCCACTGGAGTCTAAAAGGTTGTTTTTTTTTTTATTTTGTTATTTTATTTATTTTTTTTTACATTTTTTTAAAAATAATTGTTTACATTTTTTTTTATAAGCCCCGTTGGGAGCTTTGTTGAGATCTCAGGGGTCTAAACACAACTCTGATGTTCCACCTTTGAGACAGTGAAAGGAGATTGAGGACACAGCCCTCAGCTGCAGTGAATGGACAGTACAGAGCTTCACCTCCATTCGCAAACTGAAACATAGCAAACACAGTTTACTATGCGTAGTATGAATGTTAAGCAGAGTCACCTTTATCTATAAAGAATCAAAAATCTCTGCCATTCAAAAAATTTAACCAAAACCTTTCTCCACTCCAATATGAAGAATCATCACAGTAATAGGTGCAGCGCTAGTGAAATGGAGGATTGGGGCCTGTATAATACAATGGGGCAAGTGCAAAATGAATATCACTTAATGGTGATTATTAGACTGAACAGTTCAAAGTGATAAAATCGTGTGGATCCTGAGGGATCACAATTTCAGTGCACGGTATGTCTTGGTCCAAAAGAGACATGATGGACTCAAATGAATAAAATACGCACTCACCAGAAGTGCGTTTTAAAATACTGCAGTATGAAATCTGCATCAAGCAATGAGAAGGTCATCTGTTTCCAGGTCAGATCACATCATAAATCACCATCCAGGTACATCAGCGTGTAGGATTCCCTGGTCTGTTAGCATGTATCACCCTCTGGGATCCTCTTTTGTGACAAAATGGGGCACTGCGAATGAAGGCACTCACACGGAGAGCCCAATAAGAGACCACATGGAGCGTGATACTGTAAAAGTACCTTTATTCAGCAAATAATGGGTACTGAGGAATAAGATAAAAAGAAGGTACTGACCATGTGTTCCAAATTGCCACCTGTGGTGGTCAGATGTCAAGTTGCTGTAGCCCCCCTGACGCGTTTCGTGCGATGCACATAGTCATTGGTAAAGGGCTTACAGCAGGGACATAATTGCAGTGGTTATTTATATATTTAAATGGCGATTATACTTGGTGCGGCCACCATTTTGCCGGCTATCGGCCATGCGCAGTCCATCGGCGCCATTTTTGCCGTGGATCGTGAAGCGCCAACCAGTCACTGTGTTTCAGCAACTCGGTATGTTACCGCCATCTTGCTGGCTATTGGCGCATGCACAGTTCGCAAGTGCCATTTTGCCGTAGAAAAGTGATCACTAGTAAAACAGCAAACTAGTAACTGGAGGCGGTACAGGCGCCATTTTAATGGCAGTAATAAGATGGGTTACCACTGTGCAGAGGAGTGCAATATAGGGGGGAATATCAAATTATCAATTCCTTGGTATATATGGGATCCATTGTGACCCTTAACCGAAATTAGTATATTATATAAGCATATTAAAATCTATATGCAAAGCCCACCCAGTATGCACATATACATGATACCAATATCTATATGTGCAAGACCATATAAAATCAGATGCATAAACAAATTATGCTGCCCAGTGAAAACATCACAGGATGTTAAATAGTACAATATAATATAAATAGCAAAATATATATATGATACAATACATGGTCAGAAAGAATAATAAACACATGGTCAGATTGTAAACGTACAAACAAGCTGATAAAATATAATAAAGATGAAATTTAAAATTAAAATAAAATATTAGAATAAAATATTCGTTCGCAAAATCTAGGAAGTTCAAATTATACGTATAAAAGGCATATATGTGAAACATATATCTAAAACCAAAGATATATGTAAAAAGATCCAAAATATTCAAAACTTTTTTAAGATACTTAAAATCTCTAGAATCCTTAAAATCTTAAAATCGCGATGACAGGGAATTTCATAGGGACAGGGAAAGTATAAAACAGAATGTGACATGGAGGCTGCACAGGTCCCCTAGAGCACGGGGTTGGGTAGACTCCAGATGTTACACTAGGGTTTGGAGGGGGGATACAAACACCTATGGATTATGGGATTTTACTGCCCCCCCAACCGTCAATGTAAACAAGCCCTTACTGTCCTGGATGCTTTCACACTGATGTGCATTGTAACTTCTATTATATCTTGCGGGTGTGGTCCTCTTTCTGAAAGCACACAAAAACTTCTGCATTCAGGTACTTTGTGCATCTTTAGAAAGTTCACCAAACCCACAGGATATAATAGAAGTCTGTGGCTCAGTGCAGCTAACCCGCAGGAAAGCTCTACACTGCGCTGCACCCACGGATCAGCCTAGTAGTTGTTAACCCTTTTATAGGTGCTAATATGCCTGTTGAAAAAGTGCAAAAGTGTATGTGATGTGCTTCCCCTCCGCCCTATAGCAGAATTACTGCTACAGGGCATAGGACTGCACAAGATCACGTATGTATATGTGATTCTGCATTTCCAGGTAGGGGGCGCACATGCACGCCACACTACCTGCGCTGCCATTGGCAGCCACAGCTATGGATCACAGGGCCCTGTGTTTCCTCTTGTACCAAATTGTATTGTAACTGTAATGTCTACCTTCATTCTGTAAAGTGCTGAGCAAACTGTTGCGCTATATAAATCCTGGATAATAATAATAATAATCACTGGGTCCCGGCTGGAGATTCCCCGACGGCACCCGGCGATCACCGAGGAACAGTGATAGGGGAGAGACCTGTGTTTAAACAACACAGATAAACAAACAAGAGATACCTGCGCTCAAATCCCAACCGCCAGATCTCTCTCCTGTCAGCACGAACAGGCTGCTTTGTATTGCTCTGCACAGCACATTACTCTGCACTGCACAGCACAGCAGAGCAATACAAAGCAGCATGTCTCCCTAGTAAGACACACACAGCACACTTAGTAAAACAGCGCACAGTTAACATTTTGATCACCCCACATGTTAACCCCTTCCTGCCCAGTGTCATTAGTACAGAGTCAGTTTTTTATTAGCACTGATCACTGTATTGGTGTCATTGGGATGTCAGTGGCAGTTAGTCAGTCCCCCCCCCCCCCCGTGACAGAATGCCCGCCGCAGTCCCGCTATAAGTCGCTGATTGCCACCATTACTAGTTAGTCAGTCCCCCCCCCCATGTCAGAATGCCCGCCGCAGTCCCACTATAAGTCGCTGATTGCCGCCATTACTAGTTAGTCAGTCCCCCCCCCGTGTCAGAATGCCCGCCGCAGTCCCACTATAAGTCGCTGATTGCCACCATTACTAGTTAGTCAGTCCCCCCCCCCCCGTGTCAGAATGCCCACCGCAGTCCCACTATAAGTCGCTGATTGCTGTCATTACTAGTTAGTCAGTTCCCCCCCAGTGTCAGAATGCCTGCCGCAGTCCCACTATAAGTCGCTGATTGCCTCCATTACTAGTATGAAAAATAAATAAATAAATAAAATGCCAGTGTACATATATCACCATTTGTCAACGCTATAACGTTCACGTGAACCGATTAATTTATAAGTATTGGGATTTTTTTTTTTAGCAAAGACATGGAGCAGAATACATTTTGGCCTACATTTATGATGAAATCTGATTTTTTTTTTTTTTTTTCTGTATGTTTTATAGCAAAAAGTCAAAAATATATATTTTTTTTAAATTGAATTCAAATTTCAAATTTTTTGTTTATAGTGCAAAAAGTTAAAAAAAAACAAAATACCACTGAAAGAGCTCTATTTGTGGGGAAAACAAGGCAAACATTTCATTTGGGTGCAGTATTGCATGACTGTGCGATCGTCAGTTACAGTAACGCAAAAGCAAAAAATGGCCTGGTCAGGAAGGGGGATAAATCCTCTGGAGGGAAAGTGGTTAATACACAGACTTTATTTTCCTCTTCCAGCTTCTGCTGGCATCGCTCCCCATCTCCAGGCTGCTAGAAAGGTCCCATTTGAAGTGTACTTCATATTAATCCACTTGGGAAAGGAGTTCCTCTACAGAAGAAGCATCCGCTTATGCGGCTCCTACTCCCTCCACTGACGCTTGCTTCCTTCGCTACCTATGCTCTGGGATGGTGGGTCGGCTAGCCATGTTCGAGTTGTTGACCCCGGGCGTGCACTTTCCTGGTGTGAAGTCATGAGCCACATCAGAGGGCTCTGAGGCTCAGGGGTTTATTTTCTAATTCCCTCTAGTTTTCTCTAAAATTATTGCTTTGTATATTTTGGTACAAATACATATTTCCCATGATCCTCAGTTCTAATGGCCATAATGTGGTATTTCATTACTACCCATAATGATAAAAAATTCACTCAGAATAAAAAATAGTCTGTTTTTATTATTATTGCCCAATTCACATAAAAAAATGTACATGCAGATTCACTGGATGAATGGATATGCAATTATTATTATTATTTTTAATTGTTATAAATAGACCCCTTATTGCCATTCTTTTTACGTATTGATTTTTTTTTTTCCAAGAAAGAAGGTTTATTGTGATATACAAATTGACATAATAAGATAAACATGTGAAATATGAGAAAGACAGTTGGCAATACACACATCCAGTCAAAAGTGCATGAAAGCAAGTACAATTACAAAACTAAGCAGTATGGGGGAATTAAACCATGACACGGTAGTGCCTGAAATACATTAGAACGCTTATAATAAAATGCGTTAGGCCATGAGGCACCGGACCTCCTGTGATAACATCACAAAGTGTGGATCTGCAGAGGGGGAGAAGAACATAAACGACGTCTAAGCCAGAGTCAGTGCTATGAGTTTAAAGTAATGGAGGCATCCGAGAGCGGGTGTGAGAATGTGTGATCAAGTAAACTGCTAGTAGAAAAGGAGAAGTGATTCTGTCAGCATAGCCAATTGTCCTTTGGGTAATTGACCAATTCTTGCAGATATTTGTCAGAAATGAAGAATAGAAGAAGAGAAGAAGCCATAGAGCGGAAAAAAAAAAGGGGGGGGGAGAGTAAGAGAGAGAAAAAAAAAATGGGGAGGGGGGAAGGAGCAGCACAGGGGGTGTACAAATGAGAAAGGGAATAACAGAGTGATTGTTATCCATACGGTGGTACATTCGCGAAAGCCAATAGATGCCAGCCTGTCATCAGAATCGGTCGGTTGGTGGAGGAGGACAAGCGGGGAGAATCCGCCCCCATAGAGTCAATCAAGAGAGAGTAGCACCTCAGGGAGTCCAGCTGAATTCAGACCGACTGGTCCATGAGGGATCGGTATACAGGGTAGTCAGAAAATGTGTCCAACAGGCCCATACGTGAGAAAATTTTGTGGGGGTATCGAGTGCAGTTGCAATCAACTCTTCCATGTCCACCATTTTTTCCCACTCGGGTGAGATAATCACGTATAGAGGGAAGACGGGGGGAGCCCCACAGAACAGGAATACAAAGTCTGGCCGCGTTGACCATATGCATGGCTAGGGATTTGAAGTACTGTCCCCTGGGAAGGGGTGAAGGAGAAATTGGGCTGGGAAAAGAACTAAGGGTAAGGTAGTTACGGACACCACAAGCCGATGAACCTCTCGCCAAAACGGTTGGAGAGCCGGGCAGGACCACCAGATGTGGAGAAACGATCCAACAGAAGTTCTGCATCTCCAACAGCTGTTGGGAAAGGAAGGATTGAAACAATGAATCCTCAAAGGGGTGCAATACCATCTAAAGGCTATTTTGTTGCTGTTTTCCTGGGTCGAGACATTGAGGGAGCATTTATGAGAGTACTTAGAGATTAGATCCCAGTCGGAGTCTGATAGGTTAGTGTCTAAATCTCTGTTCCAGGCCCGACAAGAGGGAAGAGAGTTGTATGTCCTGTTTATTGCCATTCTATGTTGTCAGTGCTGAATAGGTGATGGTTTTAGTTGATGAAGCCAGTCAGTTAGATGTAATAAATGTATGTAGAGTGTATGTACTGTAGATGTGGATTGGGCAGATATATGGAAAGGTTTACTTTTCTCCTTTCGTTTCAGCGCCCACCATCCTTATAGATGTGGCAGAGTCAGATCCAGTGATGCAGGAAGAGATTTTTGGCCCAATCCTTCCCATTGTCACTGTTTCTGGGCTAGACGAAGCCATTCAGTTCATCAACAAGCGAGAAAAGCCGCTCGCTGCCTATGCGTTCTCCACCAATTCGCAGGTCAGCACATCTGTTTGTGTGTGTATGTCACAGGAAATGTCCCTAGGCCCAGTACAGTAATTGGGCACAGGTCCCTTATATCACATATAGGAGGGTACTTAGGCCTGGTGCATCAACTACAAGCCCCTCATATTACATACAGGAAGAGTCTCTAGAACAGGGGGCAGGAACTGGACATGGATCCCTCATATCACATATAGGAAGGGTCCCTGGGCCTGGTGCATCAACTACAAGCCCCTCATATTACATACAGGAAGAGTTTCTAGGCCTAGTGCAGCAACTGGACGCAGGCCCCTCATATCACATATAGGAGGGTACTTAGGCCTGGTGCATCAACTACAAGCCCCTCATATTACATACAGGAAGAATCCCTAGGGCTTGTGCAGGAACTGAGCATGGATCCCTCATATCACATATAGAAAGGGTCCCTGGGCCTGGTGCATCAACTTCAAGCCCCTCATATTACATACAGGAAATGTTCCTAGGCCTGTTGCAGCTACTGGACACAGGCCCCTCATATCACATATAGGAGGGTCCTTAGACCTGGTGCATCAACTACAAGCCCCTCATATTACATACAGGAAGAGTCTCTAGAACTGGTGCAGGAACTGGACATGGATCCCTCATATCACATATAGAAAGGGTCCCTGGGCCTGGTGCATCAACTACAAGCCCCTCATATTACATACAGGAAGAGTCCCTAGAACTGGTACAGGAACTGGACATGGATTCCTCATATCACATATAGGAAGGGTCCTTGGGCCTGGTGCATCAACTACAAGCCCCTCATATTACATACAGGAAGAGTTCCTAGGCCTGGTGCAGCAACTGGACACAGGCCCCTCATATCACATATAGGAAGGGTCCCTGGGCCTGGTGCATCAACTACAGGCCCCTCATATTACATATAAAAAGAGTGCTTAGGCCTGCTGCATCAACTGGACATGGGCCCCTCCTATTACATACAGGAAGGGTCCCTAAACCTGGTGCAGCAACTGGACACAAGTCCCTTATACCACATACAGGGAGGGTCCCAAAGCCCAGTGCATCAACAGGTCAATAGGTTTCAATACCTAGCCACAAACCCATCATATTGCTTTCAGAAAAGGTCTCAAGTCCCTCTTAGCAGTACCTAACCAGAAACCTATCATATTGTTTACACAAAAGGTTTCTGGACCCCATTGCAGTGCCTAGTCACAAGCCCATCATATTGCTTACAGAAACTGACTCCTCATATTATTTACAGAAAGGTTCCCTGGACCCTATTGCAATGAATTAAAGCAAGAAAAGGAAGAGGGGCACCATGACATTCATAGTATAGTAGCCACATTTAATATACATTTTAAAGGTTAAGAAAAGTTGCACTCACAAACATAAATTAATACGAGCGTGTCTCTCAGGTCAGTGCGCAGTCCAGGCATCAGTGAAGGAGGAGGACCAGTTCTCAGCCGCCTCAAACACTCTTCATCCAGAGCTGTTGTGCGAAGGCACTACAGAGCTGGAAGGAGCCACCAACTAGAGACTATGCAAACACCATAAGACATAAGTTTTGCTTTTTTAAAATTATCAAGGTCTATAAAACAAAAGCCATACGATACCTTGCTATGTGGTACCCCACATACATGACACGGTCTTTATACATCACACAAAAAAAAAAAAAAAAAAAGATGACAGTGGTTAGGACATTTTTTTAATTAGTTTTTTTATATTTATATATATATATATATATATATATATATAATATATATATGACAGTGTTTGCATAGTCTCTCGGAGGCGGCTCCAGTGTTTCACAGAGGCGACTCCTTCCAGCTCCACGGTGCCTTCTTGCAGTGGCTCTGGATGAAGAGTGCTTGAAACGGTTGTGAACTGGTCTCCCGCCTCCACCGATGCCCAGACTGCACACTGATCTGCGATACACATTCATATTCATTTATGTTTGTGAGCGCAACTTTTATTAACTTTTAAAATTTATAATGCATTTGGTTACTACACTATGGTTGGCTTGGCCTCCTCCTCTCTTTTGATTGTTTTGTTCACAGACTCTAGATTCCCAGCCAGACAGAGGAGGCAACCTTGCACAGCCAACTCATCATATTACTGATAGAAAGGGTCTCTGGGTCCCATTGCAGTACCTAGCCACAAACCCATCGTATTACTGATAGAAAGGGTCTCTGAACCCCATTGCAGTACCTAGCTACAAACTCATCATATTACTGATAGAAAGGGTCTCTGAACCCCATTGCAGTACCTAGCCACAAACTCATCATATTACTGATAGAAAGGGTCTCTGGAACCCATTGCAGTACCTAGCCACAAACTCATCATATTACTGATAGAAAGGGTCTCTGTATCACATTGCAGTACCTAGCCTACAAACTCATCATATTACTGATAGAAAGGGTCTCTGGACTCCCTTGCAGTACCTAGCCACAAACTGATTGTATTACTGATAGAAAGTGTCTTTGGACCCCATTGCAGTACCTTGCCACAAACTCCTCGTATTACTTCTAGGAAGGGTCTCTGGACCTCATTGCAGTACCTAGATACAAATCCATCATATCACATACAGAAAGGGTATTTAGGCCCCCATGCAGCAGCTAGACATGGGCCTATGATTATGAAAGACCACCTGGCACCCCACCTGGGTGCCTCCACCAGATAGCTGCTTCCTCACCACTGGAACACAGGAATAAGGTATCATAGCTGGGAAGTGCATCCAAGAACTAGATGACACTAGTTTAGGTGCAAACAGGAACCATTTTTATTGAAAATTCACACACAATTTATATTACACAAAATCAGATAAGAGCTTGATCACATTATCCTAAACAATGCAAACTTTAAACAGTAATACAGTTACATAGAGAACTGTCAGAAAAGCCTTAAACCTCCTGAAAGCTGATTGGTTAGGGGGATAAAGAGAAATTCTGATTTATTCTGTACATGGGGTGTAATGGCAAGGCACATTTATACTGGACACAGAAACATTTTCTCCTTCATATGCAGAAGATTTGGGGTCACCTACTCATAGCTCAAACTTTTTTATGGGGGCAGAATTCATTGCCTGCACACCAAAAACTGCCAGTACAGAGAACTGATATTGCCATTTTTTTCCCCGTCAGATCATCAATCAGTTCCTGGACAGGACAAGCAGTGGCAGCTTCTGTGCTAATGACGGTATCATGCAAACCACCATCATGTCTCTGCCATTTGGAGGAGTCGGTGAGTAAAGGACACCTTCAACCTGTCCATTTGGTGGATTTCTCTTTCTTCTGGCATCACTAAATTTCAGATGACTGAATGATGATTGGGCCTTTGCTGTAGAAACCTAGAGGTACAGCTCAGATATACGACACTGCCGCAGGAAACTCCTCACCATTCTCTTTGTTTTAGGTTAGTCCTGCAGGCTTGTCAGAGGTAATGAGGTCAACATGTGCTTAGCTCCTAAGGGTAGGTGAAGACCTTTGCATGTCGGGAATGTGCATTTAATTGTGTGCTTCCCAACAAGCAGGGAAACACGCTG